AGAAGTGACTCAGATCCAAGAGTCAGTCCATGGAAGTTGAGAGTCTTTAGTTTGCACTGATTTGTTTCTGACCCTAGACTATTCTGGCCACCACTTGGGCCCTCAGTTCAGTATTGTGTCTGACCTATCTTGCTTGTCCTCTCCTTCTCCTTACCTTATATTTAACCAGAAGTCAAAATCTATTGCTCTGTCACCTGCTAGTTGTTCTCTTGCTTTATGCAACTCGTCAAAACAAAGACACTCTGAAGACTTGGGTTTGTGCAATACAAGTTTATGGTGCTTTAAGTGTTATCATCTTATTTTAGTTTGCCATAACTAACATTTTTATGGAAAAATCAAAATGACATTAGGTAGCAAGGCATGAATTTTATTTTTGACGTGCTTTTACCTAACATCAGCATTATGATCCAGTGTTCTTGTTACATTCCTCTTTCAAAGGAAACCATCACTTTTACTTTATGCAATGTGACTTATATAAATGTATTGAATTAAGGTTGTATTTTATTTAATAGAGTAATATATTAATACAATCTCCTGAAGTTATTCCTGTTTTTCCTGGCTTCCTGGGACATAACCCTCAAGGGTTAATCAAATCAGGTTTGTTCACTCCTGGGTGCTAGTGGCATAAGATGATGTGTACTCGAGTCCTTATTCAGTAAATAAACTTTTTTGTAGTAAACTACTCTGGTGGGATGCGTCATCTATGTCAGGCCTGTGGGTAGGTTTAAAGGTGTCGTAACTTTGGAAGTTGCTTCAGCTGTTGGACTGGAGTAGCTGCTGAGACAACTAGTTGGCCATGTGTCTGGGGCTGCAGCATGCCTGTATGAAGTAATACGAGTGCCCTGCTACATTCTGGCCCTGCTTTCCTTCTGCAGCGGCCTCAACGGGTAGCTCTGCTGCATCTGGGGAGCAGGGACTGCAGGACTTTTTTCTTGGCGCTGAAACAGCCTCTCTCATTTTAGCCACTGCTGAATTTATTTCTCCTGGAATGTATTTGGTCTGTGTGGCTGTGTCTTTGAGTTCATAATGTTCTAGAGATCCACCAAAAGATTTTATGTAAGTTACCCAATTCACAGCCTTATCGTATTTGTAATCTGCATGGTCTAATAATTCCATTCTGCTTTACTGCTAGACTAAGACTTTGTGCGTGTGATGATATAGTACCACATTGTCTCTTCTCCATACTGTAGAAGAAAAGGCATATTTTAAAATTCTGGCATAATTCTTCAGAGGGACAAAGTAGATTGATTTAATGGATTCTGACTGGTACTATGCAAACATGTTAAAATGAGGCAGGGAGTGCTGTCCACACACACACACAAAAAAAAAAAAAAAAAAAAAAAAGTAAAAGCAGTAACATTCTTGCCAAATTACAAAATGTCTTTTTGGAGTTCAGGTTTGTGTTTGGGAAGGGGAGAGGAAGCTGTTTGTCACGGTCTTCCTCTTTGTATTCTTGGTTAGATTTTAAGGTGTCCATGCTCGTTTTTGCCTTCAGACTATTCTAGTTAAAATAACTCAAAAACATCCTTAGGGAGTTTGTGTCTCTGTAGCCAATGTGAAGAATAAACAAATATAAGTTTAATTTTAACTTACACTAAATCTATTTGTACATAATACTGGTAAACATAATGGTTACTGTCACAGTTCATTTCATGTCTTAAAGCCTTTGTATCATGGAGTGAATATAACTTAAGGTAAATGGCTATGAAACACAAGAGTTTGGTCTTGCTTTTGGATAATAGATAATTTGATCTTATTTGGAAACAAAAATATTTTGTATTTGATGTAAAATCAGAATAGGCAGCTGATGAGGTATATTATCTTCAATAACAAGAATGGATATCTGTCAGGGCAAAACCCTCCCCTGATCATATAGCTGTGCTTGGCTTCAGTCATCTTTGTGTCGTACTGATTACTGGTGTTAAAATTATTTCCTTGTATGCATAGTAGGAGAACAGAATATTAATAGAGAAGACCCACTTGAAAGTCCTAAAAGAACAGCTTATCTTTTCTGAAGCGGAATTTACTGGCAGGACTGAAGCCATTGAACCAGTGAAGATATAGCTGGCTAAATTAAGTCATACTATTAAACAAAGTTGCAATTAAATATGAAGAACAAAATATGTTCTGTGTTTTTTCTGAAAATGCTACAAACTTTGCATTTCTGTAATTTGAAAACTGAAATGATAATAGCTTTAGATGACATGGATAGTTTTTACATGCACTTTAAAGGAAAAAAAAAAAGGAAATACCTGATATTGAGACAGATGGATGATGATAGCACTCATATATTCTGTAACTTCAGCTGAAAACACTTACTGTCTGGACTTTACATTTTAGCTTTTCGAAGTAACAACTGGCCATTGTGTCAATGAGATGTGATAAATGAAGATCATGAAGATTAAATTAAAGTTGAGTTGGTTTTATAACTTTTCATTTTTTGGTTTAATTTATGCATTTGTTTTGCTTCATTTTTTTTCTTAGTTCTGTACGCTTTGGTTGAAATGTTTTCTAATACCTAGCAGTAAATTTTTGAGAGGGTAACAGTACTACCGTTGTTTTGATTATTGTACCTTTGAGTATTTTATCATTCTCTTTTAGCAGGATGTGAATATTTCTACTAATCATTGTTTCCAGGCATGCTGAAAAGTTTTACACTGGTGGTTTTGAAGGGGTTTCTTAATATTCTTTCACAAAATTGATTTTAAGATACAGAGTTAAGGTGAGAATGCATGGAAAATTTGACCTAAGTATTTAGAAATGGTCTTTCTTGCATATCAATGTAACATAATGACTGCCAGGAAAAATTAACGTTTTCTGAGCTTTCCTTGATTTCATTTGGCTGTTCTACAAAATGAATTCACTTTAGTAAAAGTCCACTAAATTTTTACTAACAAGTACTTTTTTTTTTCCTTAAAATTGTATCAATGAAGCCCACAGCCAATCAATAACTTGACAAAATAAAGCTACCTCACTTAATGTGAAGTATTATAGAAAATACCTATTTTTTTATTATGCATAGGTATTTTTATAGTTTTATTGTGATTAAAAAAGCTATAGGCATAGATGTGGGTTTTTTCACTGTTGGTGTATTGCCCCAAAATATGAAAAAGTGTGTGGGATACACACTTTTCTAGTGTTGTAATGGCAGTTTGAATATCTTTCTTTCCTCATCTAACATAGTTTTAAGGGGTGCACTTTTTTATATGTACAGTAATAGAGACTTTACTAAAAGCAGTGCATGGCAGACTCTGGCATTCTATTTGCGATGTGGACCGTCCATTTACTAGCTTGGTTTACTTCTGATTCTCCTTTCAGGCTTAAGATCAGAAACTTTTTATATCTTTAATTCACTTTAATGAATTGTGGAGACAATTGTTTTAGATAATGCACTTTTTGGTAAAGCAGAAGTTGTTGGTTGGGCTCTGCCTAGTTAAAGAGGGTTGGCATGGAGCAGGGAGAGGGGTTTAACTAATGATGTTGCAGTTGAGAGACACATTCCCATGGATTTAGTAGGAGGAAAATAGGGGGTTTGACTTTCATGTTATCTGACCTGAAATGGCTTGCGCAAGAAAGGTGGATTGAAATTTAATTGGAAAAATTACTGACCTGACACCATTTAACACTGAGAGCAAAAAGAGTATCCGCTGCTGTCAGTTTTCATTGCTGTTGCTGCAGGAAAAGACTTGCACGAGCACAGAACACAGTGGGAAATCTCTCTTCTCCCAGTTCCTGCCTGCACGCAAACATGATGCAGAATCCCTTTTCTCCCTGAAACTGATCTTTCAGTGCATTTCTGATGATTGTCCTTAGAAATATTTTTAACACTGCTTTCTGCATCTGAAGTAGACTGTAACTACAGATACAGGAAGCACCTTGTCTTCTGTGCTTGTGACATGGTGTGTGTCTATGGCTTTCTATGAGTAATAACCTGAACTGCCTCCCGGGGAAGCAGTAACAATTGAAGTTGTTATTTAGCTGTTGTTTTGTTTTGCTCTTTTTATTAGCAGCTATTTTAGTAGGTGTAGTCAGCAGGGGTTGAGAGAGAATAACAAGTGACTTTTCCTTTGGTCCGAGGAGAAAATTCAGTTCGTTTGTACAAGATGCTATTGTCTTTAAATGCGGTCAGCTGAAAGGAACTCACCTCTGTGCCAGTCTCTTAGACTACTGTTGATAACAGTATGAACCTCACACAGCAAATCTTGCTTTAAGCAAAGAGTTCGGAATAATGGAAAACTGCGGCTTTAGGAGCTTTAGAAAGCCATTTCCACACAATCAGGACAGCTTTGGGCCAGCAGCAAGGGATTGGTAGGAAATCCAGGTCATACCCAGTTTCTCTGGTCATACCTGCTTGTGCTGATAGCAGGGAAAGTTTTAATGCAAAAGTTCTTGTAGTATGGCTCTATGACCAGCAGAAATCCCAGAATATAGGGAAGATTGTCTTCTGTTCCATATAGAACAGTATTAAGATGCAATGCTTCTGGTGCAAACAACTTTATTTTAATTTTCATCAACATTTGTAAATAACTTCTTTCTGTTCCCTAAGTATAAAATGAAAATGCACTGTTTTCAAGGAGTCTGGTATGCTAGGAAATAACTGAATAAATAAGATCTTCAGGAAACTAGCAAATGTGCAACGTATTTTTGGGTGTAGTTAAAATTGACTAGAGCTAAAGGCCTTTGAATCCAAGATTTCTTTTCTCTAGGAGTTTTCTCTAGTTTGCTTTGTTGTATCACAATGTTTGAGTTTCTGGTCTCTTTCCAGAAAAATACAAATTCTTAAAAGCCATGGTAGTATATGTGTATCATCTTTATATAAACGAGCCTAACTGTATGGGATGATAGCTGATCCATGGATTAAAGCAGTTTGTGAATATGTATAGGTATTCAATTGCTGAACAATAAAATTAAACATGTTTTCTTCCTGTGGTATCTACATCTTTTTCCTCCTTTTCCCATCCCCATTAGACTAAATATCTTTGTTTTATTTTTCTTCATAGATTGAAATGCTAAGGAAGAAAGTAAAAGAAAAGGAATTATTTATAATACAGCTTTTAGAAAAAATCTCTTTCTTAGAATGTGAGGTAAGGCATTACTTTTTAAGTTTATATTATTGTGATTATTTTATGAAACAAATAAAATTTGAACCAATGTCACCTGATGTTTTCTGGATGCATATTTACTATATGTATTTAGTGTTCTTCAGTATGAAAATCAAACTTATGACACCTGTCACATGAGGAATGTATGTAATACAAAGTCTCAATATGCATGCTAAGTTTCTTAACATATAATTTTATAACAGTATTATAATTACTTAAAACAGAAGCTTCTGAATAAAACTGTTGGTTTAATTGATATTTTTTCCCAGGAGTAAGGATTCCTTTATTTTCCCAATAAATACTTTTACATTATTTTTTTGTGGGGATAAGCCAGCGTGCAATTTTATTTCATTGTTTAATTAATGTAATTTAAATAAAATAAATTTGTGATGAAAATTACTGTTTTCCAGAATAAAGAATTACAAGATAAATTAGACTATTTAATGGAAAACCAACCAAAGACCAATATAGAAACCAGAGATACTGGTGTAGGATGTGATCTTCCATACAGGTATTTACTTTTTCTGCTTGTTCATAGGAAACTTCTTCATAATGTCCCTTATTGGTGCTGTATTAGTAAACCATTGTGCTAATAAACTGTTAGAATGGATTATGGAGTTTTGCAAAATTTTCCTAAGTTTAAAAAAGCACATCTACTAGGTGTAGTGTACTTCAATGACTTATGGACTAGGATTTTTTTTTTTTAATAAAGATGCAAACATATTGCAAACCCTTGGGAAGTACTTATTTACAGTAAAGTGATTTAAGCAGGGAGTAAAGCTACAAGTCAAGAGATCTGACTTTGTGAAATATGGGAAATATTGATGAAATGTGTCTGCTGGCAGCGCAGCGGAAGACAATGGACAGCTCTACCCTGAGGCTGGTTAATGCTGGCTTCATGCATGCTTTATTCTTTGTGTTCCGGGAGACACGGCCAGGACCATTTTAAAGGGCAGGTAACACCAACAGTAACAATTTAGGGCTGCAGCAATTTCTGTAGATATCCTAGCCCTAGGTGGAAGATTGCCCAGTAAACAGCACGGCAACATTAGCACTTCTGCACTGGAATGGTTGTCTCTGATCTGTGGTGGCCAGTGGTTCTGTAGCCTGGCTTTGTAAAGATCCAGGTATTGTGCCTCCCTTCTCCTCCTCCCCTTTCTCTGCCCTGAACTGTAACAGGGTTGCACTGAGCCCTAGGAGCAAGGCTGTGGACTTGCACTTGAATCTTCCCCCCAACAAGTCACCACAGGGAAGGGCAAAACAGAAACCCAAATAGTAAGGTAAGGAGGACCATTGCACATTACTTTTACTACTAACAAGTAAACTTGTTCATCTTAACTGCCCTGCAAAATGAATCATTCCGTTTGAAGAATGTAAATTAACATATGAAATGAGCAAGCTGCAATACAAACTAAAATTTCCTTCCCAATTTAAAAATACACTCATTTCAGCGGTCAGCATAGAGCATATTTCAATGGCATGAGTTCTGAAACCTCAAAAACAGTGTTTTTCACTCAGGGTGCCAACAAAAAGCTATCTTTGTTGTCCTCTCTGGGGCTCCTCTGTGTCTAACGACAGCCCCTACTTATCTGATATTTTTCCTATTTCTGAGACTTATCTCTATGTAGAAATTTACCTCTATGCAGTTTAGATCTTACGGAATTACTTTTCACAATTAATTGTGTTCTTAAATGTAATATTGCTGTCTTTATTGTTGCAGGATACTTAATCCTAGTAGCTATGTGGCTGGACATTCCAATGAGAGTTCCAGCAGATGCCTGCATATAAACTTGTCAGTATCTGCCATGGTTTTTATCAAATATTCTTTGTGGCACTGTAGAAAAGAAATATGGAACATATCAAATACACTGAATAGTTTAATTCTAGCCTGTCAATATCAATAACAAGGCACAAGTTCATTGCCGTGGCATTTCCAGCCCAGCTGTCTGATACTCTGACATTAACTCTGTAAGCTTTTCCTTGTCTCCTTAACAGTACAAGTACTGAGAACAGAAGATCTCCTGAAAGTGCCAGGCCGGTGAGGACATACACGCCATTCAAGAGAGTGTTGGAATTTAGCACAAAGAACAGTACATCTTGAGCATTCAAGTCAACGTGCTTTCTAAATACAAGCAAATATCTTGCGCCTTTGCAGCTTGATTAGATAATTTTTTATCAAGTCATAGAGAAGAACAGCAGCATGGAGTCTTGCTAAATTTATCGCGAAAGCAGCTTTTTAGTAACTTCGTATCTGAAGCTACTACTGACATTGTGAGGGGGGTATGGAAGAAGCAGGATGAGTGAAACAGCAGTAAATATTGCTTCTTTAGAAGCTGTCTAGTGCAATGTGTCATTTCAAATGCCTGTAAGGAAGGAGTTGTATAGCTGTACAGTTTTTTTCCTTCAATTGTGTTGTAATTCTGTTTGTGTAATGAAGCTCTAATATATTTTATTTTCAATACTACTAGAAGCAGTATCTGAAACTATGCTGGCAGAGGGCATTAGTCTGAAAGCTCCCCCTTTGTCCCTGTACAAAGCGTGAGGGCTGTTCACACCTGTCATAGAGACCTGGTATAGTCGAGGGCTCTGTTCACCTGGAAGAAGTTGACTCATAACCAGCACTCTTTTGCTGCGAGGGAGAGATGCAGCTGGGCTGTTTCAAACAATTCCTTCAACACATGCAGATGAATGTCGTGTTTGTGCTCAAAACAGTAAGCAATAGAGCAGATTATAATGGATTTTGCTTTGTTGGACTGAGGCACTGGTTTGCACTTCCCTCAGGCATGAGATAGAGTGACTATTGGTGATACATTCAATAGTAATTGTGTAGGAAAATTCCTGTCACTTTTTTTTTTATTTACTTTTCCATTAGAGGAAGGAATTTTCATTAAACAGAATTTTGCCTACAGGAAGCTGCAGCAGTCCCTGCAATTCATATAGCAATAGCAATCCTGAATCAGGATTTCGATTTTTGAGTACTCTTCTTTTTTTTCCAAAGCACTTAAAATCTTATCCTTGACTTCAAAAAAACATCCAGTACTGAACTTATTTAAATATATATATAGGGTATTTTTTTACATCTTGTTTTGATCTCCCAGTCTTAGTGAACTAAAATAAATTATGAGTATTTTCTTGTAGCTTTATTAACATGAGTGAAGGGCTTTTTTTTTTTATTACAGTAATTGCTATAGAAAACCAACAACTTACGTTTTGTATGATTAATATTGTTCTTGCATTGAATGTCAATCCCAGGAGGTACTCACCTTGCCACAGGGCTTCACAAAGTGATTGCTTTTATCTCCAGTCTAATGCAAGTTCTTAAATTCAGTACTGTCTGTTCAAATTAAGTATACTCAGTAGAGTTGTATTTAAAATAACAATATTGACCTCATAATCCAAATCTTATTCCTGCATTATTTCATGGGTTTCTGAATTTTTTAGAGAACTTTGTTTATTCAGTAGCTGTGCTGTTTAACTATTAAAGAAGCCTGTTTTGATGTGGTACAGGTATCTTGCAGGAACATGAATTGCTTGATATAATCAAAGCATATACAAAATAAAATGGGAAGCTCAAACTTCTCCAACTTTTGTGGTCAGATCATCCTCTGTTTGCACATAAGCTATTTTTTTCCTCGCGACCTGTTTAACTCCTGAGAACTTAAAATGGTAATTCTTTCTAAAAAGTCAAACACAATATTATGTGTATTGTATTTGTATTGTATTGTATTATGCACAAAATTCAAGAAATAATTGCAATCAAAGCCATTAACAAAAAGGTAAATTATCTACTGTGTGAAGGAAGCCTCTAATCTTCACTGGTACAGAAGGTGCAAAGATTAACAGCTGCTCAATGTTTCTTTTAAAAAGAATAATTAAAAAATACATTGTTAGTTTTGATAGCTCTAAAAGGAAACTCTGTTTACTTTGCATGGGATGAGGGAGTGCAAAAGATCTCATAGATATCAAATGGGCAAAGAAAACCGTCCAGCTGTCATATTAGTAAAAAGGCATAATACCACACATTTGCTTAAATAGCTTCTCCCAGAGAAGAGGTGCAAAACCTCTAGAGTGGGAAAGGGCTTGAAGAGAAGGTCCTTGAGAATAAAGTCTGCTCCCTATAAAAACAGTCCTCAGACAAAACACCCTCTCATTATGCAAAGCAGAGGAATTGTCTTGTACCTGAATACCAAAGACACGGAAACAGCTGACACATGGAGAGCTATAGTCTTAACCGTGCACAGGGTATTTTTGTTGATGCTTGAGTGAATTTGGGAAACTGAGTTTGCTGAACAAAGTTCCCAAATAACACTTAATTTGATCAATAACTAAATGAATTATGGTTATGAACAACTAAGATCATAAAAACATTTAAATTGGAAGTGTATGTTGATGAACCCAAAAGATGATGGGTAATGACCCAACTGAAATTTCAGGGGTAAGCTTTGTACTTGTGTAATCATATCTCCCTCTAGTGGCTGATAACAGCAAATATTTGGTCAGTATCTGTTTTTGAAGAGAAAGATGCTAAAAACTAACCCCAACTGGCCATATGCTTTAGTTGATTACATAATGCCGTTTAGCATTTTTTGTGCCCAGATAGTCTCTCTGTATTTCAGGAATTTAATTCTGAACCATGGTTTGTGAAAGTTACCGTCAAACTTAAGATGAATGTATGAAGACGGTATTCATAGATAAAAGGAAATGCATTCTGTTGTAAGAGACATTAACTGACAAGTTCAAATAGGTAAAAATACTTTATCCCTCTGTTTTTGGCCAGAATTCAGAAAACAGAACCTGATGACTGTGATGTGCTCACTGAATGGCAGGAGAGGGCAGGATGAAGTATCAAAATGCTGTTTTGACGCAGACTTCAAAAGGAAGTTCATCCTACTTTTAATATACCCCTGAGGATGTCCTCTGAAAATACTGAAAATGCTATTTTAACTCTGAGACTTGCAAAATGATGATCATCTGCTCGAGACTACCAAGACTGCAGCAAGGTGTTGAATTTTTCCTGTAAAAGTTTTCTGTTTAAATTCTGTCTTGACTATTTGATGAAATGATTTTTTTTTTTTCCTAAACCAAATAAGGATTGAAGTCTATGCTATATTTTAAGAGCACTTTGACATCCAGCTAGATGACCATCATTTGATTGGACAACTGGTCTAAATTTGGTAACTCTGAAGAATAGGAGAGGAACAGTATTTATATAATTGTGTTACATGAAAATGTAAAGCTTTCCAGTCAAAACAGCAGCAATGTAAATTAGCATAGATAATAACAAATCTGACTGAAAAGACTGGAACACTTCAGTATAAATTTTGTCTATTTGAGACTGGGTTAATTAGTACTATAACATTAGAAACTAGTAAAATTTCTGTAAACATCAATAAAAGCCATATAGATAGGTCCCAGAAAGAGCATTAAATACAAGTCAATTGTATGACTACATTTGTACCATGATAAGTATTCTTTTGTGATTTATTCCAGATACTCTGGAAAGTATTTTGGGATACAGTTTTCATATATGCTGTATAAATAATGCAATTACATTGTATGCTTTTAATACATCCTGTATGTAGGTCTTGAAAAGGATAAATTGCAATAAATATTGTATTTAAACTTTCTATTCTGTTGTGTCAACATTCATTTAGAAATAAACTTACCTTAAAACCTTGCAAACTCTTACTCTACACAATCTTGTTTGATCAAAACATGTATGAATGCAAAAGCAGTTCCTCTGGAGCCTTGATGTTCTTGTCAGTGTTTCCTTTGGCAGATGGGCTCTTGAGAACAGGAAGACACTCCCTTGCTAACGACTCAAGACTCTTCTCAAAGCCAAGTAACAAAAGTAGATGAACTCTTTTATGAAATAAAGAACTATTGACTTGCACAGGATAAACAAGAACTGGGCAGTGCAGCTCTTGCAAAAAACCCCAACAACTTCAGATCCCACAGATAACATCTGAATACATCTAGGATGATGCTCTCCAGGCTTCAGCATGATGAAGTTGGGATGACCGTGGCCCATCTGGTTTTTTTACAGTTTATATCCACTCACTGATAATAGAGATTTATCTTTAAGACTGTCACAATGAAACAATCTACATGTCAACTAAATAAGAAGAGGTCACGCAAACATGACAATCACAGTGTTAATGGTTTGCAATGCTCAGCTGAAGAATGTGAAGTTTTTTAGTTGTGTAATGCTTCCCTGCGTACGTGCATTCAGTACAGATTGCCAAAAGGACCTCATAAAATCTTACTGAGATCAGCAATGCTCAGTGCTGAACCCACAACATAGGATTCTGGGAGTTGGATACTAATGCTTTTTGGAGAGGCTTTAAATCCTTGTTTTGACATCGGAAGACTTTTAGACATGGACAGATGAGCAAATAGGTAAGAAGTAAGTTCTCTCCACATTGTTAAGTCTGTAATTCTGTACAGGAAATCCCTGCTCCACAGAATGGAGACGTACGTGCCGAGAGTTTCATTCCACTTACATTTTATTTCATTCCCATTCAGCACGTAGGGCTGTTTGCATGTGTAAAAGAAGAAATGTGCTTAAGAGACCTTATGAGTTAAGGCCCTTCCAGCCCTACCTCAAGCACTAGAACGTGGAAGAAACACAGGAAAACAGGGCGATAGCAGTCATCTACAACTTAAGGTATGTGAAAACTTTCAAAAGCAAAAAGGACCTGGTGGGTTAAAGGGAAAATATGTAGAAGTGAACATTTATGAGATTACAATATTCTGTAAAGGTGTGTGTGGTGTATAGGCATACTACAATAATCTGGCGGTTGCTTACCATATGTAAAACAGTATGTTGATAGGTATAAGCATATATAGGATTGCTGTTAAAGTGTTTGGGGCTTTTTTGGAGAAATAAGGTTAAGGGAGGAGTTATTTTCTTTAAATTAAGGAAAATAAAATGGATTATTACAAAGGTGCATCATGCTGATTAAAAAAGGTTTTTTAAAAAATGAAATTAAAATTATTCATTTTAATTCCAAATATTCATACCATTTTTTCTATTATTTTGGGGGTGGTTTATTTTGTACATGTGGCTTGATTCCTCTCCTCCCGCTCCTCAGTATTTCC